TTTTAGTCTAGAATTGACTCCTTTTTTATAAAAGCGGACTTCTGTGACTCTAATATGTCAACCTATTTTTCCGTCGATGCATTAGTCACAATGCCAAGTGCATTGTCAGTGGTAGTAAAAACAAACTGATAACAAAATGACGTCCAATATTTTACCTTTATCGAGAATAAAGCGTTTTACTCAAACCTGGCCTTTCACACTGTGTTCTTTGGCAGCCCCTTCGATTGGCCACTTAACCCTTCCTGTAAATTGTCGTTTTGTATTCGATAATCACGACTAGACTGCACCTTGACTTGGTGTGATGGCTTGTGCACCTCAATGACCCAACTAGCTAGCCGCAGATCTAATCATGTCTGTAAGGTCAATGGGTAGAGGTCAGACGAAGTTCAATCTCCTGGTCCTCTAGGTTGGGGGTTCGACTCGAGTTAGCGTCTCAGTCGGTAAGATGGTAGAGAAGTAATTGATCCAAATAAATGGGCCTCTACTTCGTTTTCCTCGCCGCCTTGCGGTCAGGTTCCTTTCAGAACTAAAGGCTTTGGACGAGAGCCCTAATCGTTCTCCTGCTTAGTGGCCGGACACCCTGGCAATACCCATCCATCAAACTCAAACGCATACACAAACAAAAATTAATTCCATACTGAATCGGTCGTCGCGCAGGATAATCAGGACCGCGTTGCTCATTGCATCGAGCGGGGTGGGTAGTGATAAGTGGGCTACTGCTCAGATATCCCAACCTTTGTCTTCCGTTCCCAACCAACTCCCTTTAACCCTTCCAACCCGTAACATTCCCTCAGACGACTTGTTTGTCACTCGCCGAATTTCGATACCAAGTAGCCCGGTAAGTTTACCACAAAACAGATTGCATATTCTGAAGCCTTGTCAGCCACTGAATCTGGGGGCCTTCAACGTGAGGACTCTGATGCAGGTAGGTCAACAAGCGTGTCTGGGGCTGGCAATGGACTCTTTGGGATTGGTCTGCTGCGTGTCGGAGACCGGAATCCAGGATCCTAGTACTATATGCCATTTAAGTGCACCGGGGGTTGTCTTCGAGGTTCTTCCGAACGTCAGGTGATGACGAAGCCCGTTCAGTAGGCCAGCGTGGTGTGGGCATTGTACTGAATAATACAGCCGAAGCTGCACTACTCGATTGGATCCCCGTCAACAGCCACTTATGTGCGATGCGGTTCCAAGGGTCTAACAGCCTCCGGAAGAGAGGCGACACCAAAAGGTGTTTATTCATCGTTTCAGCGTATGCACCAACTGTAGTTCTGACGCACAAAAGGACGAGTTTGATGATAAACCCACCGAACTAATTCGGTTGAGCCGGAGCTTCGATACAGTTGTTCTCTCAGGTGATTTTTACGGTCAAGTTGGAAAACTGAACGTATCGGAAGCTTGTCTAGGCGGTCACTGTGCTCTGCACTACCAGAGAACAGATAATGGCGATCGACTTCTTCAGTTCTGCACAGATCATCTGTTCCCATTCAGCACCAACTTCCGACACAGCTCTCAATGGACAGCAACGTGGCGCTCAAATTCAACTGGCACGCTAACTCAGATCGATCACATAGCAGTAAGCTACCTTTGGCGTGGTTCAGTACAAAATTGCAGGTCTTATTGGACCACCTGCGTTGAATCGGATCATGCGCTAGTTTTGATGGAGTTCACTCTCCAACTCACTGGTCACAGAAACCCCCACCAAACTCGATTGGCAGATCATCGCTTAGCTGACCCAGCCGTTCGTGCCCGTTTTGAATCAGAACTGGGGCAAGAGCTAAACGCACTGCGGGGTGGTAGTGTAAACGAACAATGGGATCAGATTAGCCGAGCAATGCACTCTGCAGCGAACCTTGC